TTCATGGCTAGAGAAATATTTTTCTCTTTGTCTTAGCTCAGGCTGCTCTAACAAATACATAGATGGAGTGGCTTAAACCTCAGACATTTATTTTTCACAATTCTATGAGTGGGCTGGGAAATCCAAGATCAAGGTACCTACAGATTTGGTATCTGGTGAGAGTTGCTTTGCTTCCTGATTTATAGATGATCATCTTCTCACTGTGTCCCCCCATGGTGGTGGGGGGAGAGAGAGAAAGAGAGGGAGGGAGGGAAGGGAAGAGAGAAGGGGGGGAGAGAAAAACTCCCTCCTATCTCTTTTTGTAAGGATACCAATCCCATCATGAGGGCTCCATCCTTTTGACTTCACCAAAACTTAATCACTTCCCAAAGGCTACCTCTCCTAGGACCATCACACTGGAAGTCAGGGGTTCAGCATATGATTTTTGGGTAGACACAAACATGCAGTCCATAATACCCTCCACAATGCTCCTCTGCAAAGTGGTGGCTGTCTGCTTATTAGATAATGACAACTGACTGCCATGTGCCACAATCAGTGCTGTTCTTACTCCCTCTCACTTGAGTCTTTTGTATTTTCATGTTATTTTCCCTCACTCTTAAGGGTTTTTGCCTGTTATTGTGATGGCAAGCATGTGTTATAACCCCATCAGCGGGAAGAGTCTTCTTTTACTTGGTGTCTGGGCTGAAGAGTGTTCTCCATTATGTAGCCTATGACATCTCCTATGTGGCACCAGTGACATTGGTGTCCCTTCTCTAGCCCCAGCCCTAACCCTTGTTGCAGCAGCAGCTACAGTAATGCCAGCAGGACCAGGAATTCACAGCCCTTACTGCTGAATCCCCTTAAGGCTGTGGTTCTTCACTCAAAGAACTAGCATCACCTGGGAGATTTTTAGTAACACAGAACCTTGTGCCTTGCCCTCCCCTCCTCTGCTGGAACTACTGAATTAGAATCTAGGGATTCATTTGAACCTTCAAGTTTGAGACCCACCAGTGTATCTCATTTGATTCCTAGAATAACCCTACAAAGTAGATAGTATGGCCCCCATTTTGCAGATGAAAAAACCGAGACTAAGAGAGGTAATTGACTTGAATAAAGTTTCAAAAAACAGAATGTGTCAGAGGCTGTATTTCTAGAGCATACCATCCCCTTGCCTGTGGGTTTGGACCTGGATCGTATCTAAGCTCTGCTGCTTCTGAGCTGGGTGACTTGAGATCTTCATTTCTTCAACTGTGTATCATGTTCGTGAACCAGATGATATCCAAGGTTACCTTCTAGGTTCCAAAATATACAATATTTATGTGAGCCTGTTTTACATATGTTCATTTTTTGAAGAATGAGAGTACTCTGAACTCGGGCAATGAAAGGATTTAAAGTCCTGGAATTAGTAGAAGAGAGATTGTTCTTCAGATGGACAGCTACTCTCATGCTTTGCATAACCAATGTGGTATTTATTGCTGATTAATAGCAATCATCTGCCTGTTAAGTGGAATTATGATTTCCTTCCTTCTTACTCCTAAGCCACAGGGGGAAATAAACTTACCCATGGGAAGGAGAGGAGAAACATCATTATTGAACCATGAGAAAATTTTCCCTAATAGTGCAAAGTTGTTGGCAAAACATAAAGGAAGATGAAATAAGATGGGTCCTTGTTTGATAGGATCTCTTTGGAAGAGAAATGTATGCACAGCATATAAAAGAGCTATTCTGTAGTTTACCTAAATTCTGTTTTTCCCACTAGGGGTGATAGTGATTTCACACATATGGGTTGTTATTAGCCACAGTAGCAGAGAGAGGAAGTAGGAACCCACAGCTCCAAACAGTAGGTGATATAATGTTAGAACCAGCAGATAGGACCTGATGGTGTAAATTCTTTTTATGGTTGAGAAAACTGAGGTCCAGAGGAATTTTTCCAAGATTATACAAAGTGTGATTCAGCCTAAACTAGAACCCAGGACTCCTACCCGAGTGCCGGGCCCCCTGCAGCCGTGTCGTCCAAAATGCCAGGCTATGGGGGCTATGCAAATAGTCAAAATGGGATACAGGTGAATTTTTTTAAAAAAATTATTTTTCCAACTCTAAGATAAATGATAGAGGCTTTTCATCAATTGCAGTGCTACAAAGTTTCCTTTGAAATTGATGTATTTAGAATACAATCATGAGCAAATTTAAAAATATTAATTAAATAGCAGTACAGATATACAACACTCATTAGACTTGTAAAAGAATGCCTGAAGTTTAGGAAATGCTGCACAGTTCACTAAGGAATCCACAAGCTCTTGGTATTTGTCAGCACTGTGTTTTGTGATTGAGGAGGGAGCCGGTCATTTAATGTTATGTTTGGCTCAGCAGGTGTTTGCTTCCTTTTTATTCCTTTCTTAGTGCACTAAGGCAGGAATCCTTCCGGCTTCTGATCACACATCAGGCAGTGCTGGGAAAAAAATGCTATGCTGGGAAAAAAAATAACCTCAAAAAACTCTAACAATATTTGTACTCTCATAATATGAAGTAATAAAAAAATTAAAAAAAAAATCTCAGTGTCTTATTGAACTCATAGAAGCAGAGAATGGAATTGTGGTTCCCAGGGGCTGGGTGTGGGGGTTGGGGATTGAGGAGATACTGGTCACAGGAGAACAAATTTCAGTTAGGAAGAGTAAGTTCAGGAGACCTATTATTGTACACCATGATGACTATAGCTAATAACAATGTACTGCCTATTTGAAAATAGCTAAAAGGGTAGCTTTTAAGTGTTCTCATGGCAAAACATAAGTATATGAGGTGATGAGTATGTTAATTAGCTTGATATATCCACTTCACAATGTATACATATATCAAAACATCATGTTGTACACCATAAGTATATATAAGTTTTTTTTTTTGTTTTTTTTTTTGAGACAGAGTCTCGCTTTGTTGCCCAGGCTAGAGTGAGTGCCGTGGCGTCAGCCTAGCTCACAGCAACCTCAAACTCCTGGGCTCAAGCAATCCTGCTGCCTCAGCCTCCCGAGTAGCTGGGACTACAGGCATGCGCCACCATGCCCAGCTAATTTTATATATATATTAGTTGGCCAATTAATTTCTTTCTATTTATAGTAGAGACGGGGTCTCGCTCTTGCTCAGGCTGGTTTCGAACTCCTGACCTCGAGCAATCCGCCTGCCTCAGCCTCCCAGAGTGCTAGGATTACAGGCGTGAGCCACCGCGCCCGGCTATACAAGTTTTATTTGTGGATTTAAAAACATTCAATGACTTATGAGCACGGTTTTGTCTCTGGCTCCCTATTTAGCCCCATCACTGACGGGGCTTTGGTTTTCACTGGAGACCCGGGCTGGCAAGTAGTTCCTACGAGAGGCATTGCTGGCACACTGACAGAAGGGAGAGAGGAGTGGCAGGTGCTACATCATCATTTTCACTCACGTTTCATTGGCCTAAGTAAGTCACATCTTCACAGATGATGCCATTGGGTGGGCAGTGTAACCCCCTGAGGTCTGGGCACAGTGGGGAGGGGCAGTGGGCATTTTGACAGACATATAATCTGCCCCTAATTAATTAATATTAATAAATCAGTCAGTGAAGAGAACGCGTCAGTAACTGAGCATTGCTTATGACCATCTTGTATATTGGGATCCTTCAGATGGATAGTAGCAAAATATCTGATACTGCTCTTTCCCCCAGACGTAAGTCTCTCCGGGATCACATCCTCTGGGGCAACTGGCTGCTTCTCTACTGGCTTCTGAGCTTACTGCGTACTTTATGGCTTGTCCAGATACAGATGATAGTTGAAGGGCAAGAGTTGTCTTAATGTGGTTTTTCTGTCTCTACCAAATTGGGAAGGAGAAGAACACGGCTGGGGTCTGGCTAGGGCGTACTCCTACACCTTAGGAGACAGTTATTTTGACCTGTGTTGACTCTTGCAAGTTTTGCATTGGCATCACTGGACTTTGTAGCCTGTTTTTACCCCTCTTAGCAGCCTATGAGGTATATAAGGGTGGACTAGGCAATGATATGTGATATGAATAAACCTGGCTTCCTGTAATAGCAAACTAAAAACATATCATAGTCTAGTTTAACTTAGAAATATTGACATTGATATTTTATGGCATATATTGACAATATCATATTGACATGTAATATTCATATAACATTAAGTTGCATATTTAGAAGGCCTCAATGATTAAGGCATGCTTTAAAGAAATGTGGACACTTTGGATTGAGTATTTGTCCTCATTTTATGTGTTAACTATCTTAGATTAAGCTAATGTTAGCTGACTTTAGGTCTTGTGTAGCTTAAGTAAATTCAAAAATTGGAATCCAATTTTTCTTGGATTCTAAGTGCACTGGGGACACAAATTTAGGCATACTTTGGTCCTGGTACTTTGTGTACCCTGATGGTGGCAGCTTTTCTTTCCTCCTTTTATTATGTCTTTTAAAAGCACCCTTAAACAATTTCATAATGGAAATGGCATATTGGCATTCCCAAGGCCCCATCTGTGACTCTCCACTTTCTTACTTCCTTAAGACAAAGAAGAGAAAAATAAAGTTTAGATTGGACTGTGTGCCTGCAGGCTTCAACAAGAGCTTCAATGATTCCATTTTACTTAGTGGTATTCCTGGGAATTAGTATGTGAGTTGTTCAAAGGTTATAGCTTCCATCCTGAAATTTCCCTTAAATTTACGTAAAGTTCATTTCCTCAGTTATTACTACAGTGAGCTTTTAGCTCTCTTGCCTTGTTGCCATCCAATTTTTTTAAAAAAGACTCTACTCTTTCACCTGAAGCTATTTAAACATATTTAATATGCTTATATTAACATATTTAAACATGTCCAAATATGAATTCCAAGGTTTCTTCACAGGACTTAAGAAGTGAGTTCTGCACAGTCCTCTGGGACTCCAGGGGGCTGAAAGAGGAAGCTCTTCTCATTGGCCCAGCTGAGGAGCTGGTTTTGGGACCCCCCCCGCCCCCTTTCCCCCCGCGGGGAGAACTGAAAGTCAATAAGGTAAGCTTACCTTTTGAGTCTGTAAGAAACAATCACCCCTTTCCCCTTCCTGCCTAATCAGCAGGGCCTCTAGTGGACAGAATCCTGCAATTTCTGCTTCCTTCATCAGCTGTCAACATGGAAACTGGTTGGAGAGTCCCTACAGCAAAGACAAGAGGGACTTCTTTATTTCTCATGCAGAAAAAATAAATTACATGGCCTCCTGAATATAAAGGGGGAGAGGCAGACACTCTTGGTGCTAGCGACAAAATTACCCATCACTCTTGGCTTGGGGTTCTTAGCTTTAAAAGAATCATATTTGCCACCTAGAGTAGAATTGAAAATATTTAATTCTTTTTACCCATCTCTTGTAAAAACAGTACAGATTTTCAGAAATAAATGGTGAATGTCCCCCTCCACCTTCTTGTACCTGCCCTTCATTGCCTGGTTCCACTACCCAAGGATGACCACTCTTTGTGGTGTAAAGCATATTTTTTTGTACACTTGGGTTTCTTTTAAAGTTACTCTCTTCTGTTCAAGTGGCTCTTATGGCCTTAGAGGTGGGAGACTCCTGGGTGTGTGCTGCAAGATTCTGCTGTTCCCCTTTCCTTGGGGAGGCCCTAAAGAGACTCCCACCTTTGGTCAGACTAGAAACCAAGTCTCTACCCCATCAAGAGAATTCTCATCCTAAAAAGAAGCCCTCAAATAGAGAACTTCTGATTCTTTGTGAGAGGCACTTTTCCATTCCAGCAGACAGGTCTTCTGGTTATGTCTCTCCTTGGTTTTGCTGCCCTTCTTATTATTTCTAAAGACCCTCCCATAGTCACTTCTGAGCATGAAAGTTCTTCCATTTCTTTAGGGCCCAGTGTATTAGTTACCCAACAAATGTACCAAATTACTCCAAACTTTAGCTGCTTAAAATAAGTACTTACTGTCTCCCAGTTTCTGTGGGTTGGGAATTTGGGAGTGGCTTAGCTTTTTGCCTTGTCAAAGGTGTGGGGGCTGCTGGCATCCTAAGTCTTGCCTGGGCTGGAGAATTCCCTCCCAAGATGCTTTCTTACATGCCGTTGGTGGGAGGCTGCAGTTTCTGGCCAGATGAGCCTGTCTGAGGGCTGTTTGAGTGTCCTTACTACAAGGTAGTTGGCTTTTCCTAGTGTGAGTGATCTAAGAGACAGAGATACAGAAACCTTAATGTCCTTTATGACCTAGCCTTCAAAGTCTCACTCCATCACTTCTGCATGTCCTGTTGACTGCACAAGTCAGGCCTGTTCAATGTGGGAGGGGGCTACAAAGGGCATTGAAAACCAGGAGGAGGGATCATCGGTGGTCCTCTTAGAGGCTGGTTAACAAATCCAGTTCGGTTCCTACTTCTTCCCCTTAACTTGCTATTAAGTCCCATCCTAATGATATTCTTTTCTGTGGACTTCCTTAGCACTTTCTCTCTGAACTGCTAATGAGGGCCTAGGAGAGTCTTCCTTTGTTGATTAGGTGTTTAAGGCTCACATGCTTTCCATTGTAAAGTGGCTGGAGGGTGAAGCAGCTGCTGCCCATTGCCTGGGTGGGGAGGGTGGGGGATGGGTAGTGAGACCCCCAGGTGCTGGGGAGCAAGACCTTATTCCACTGGCCACACCCTCGTGCTGGATCACACCTGCCTGGAGAAAGGGGTACTTTATAGGAATTGATACAAAGGTTAAGTTTCAGGCTGGGAGAAATCTATAGCATGGGTCCTTAGTAAATGTTTATAAGAGAAATACATAAGTGAATGAAAACTTTGTCTTGGGATTTCATAGACTTCCATGAGGACTCAGTGATATTTTGATATTCCTTTCTGGTTTCAGATTTGAGAGAGTGGCTCATCTTCTAGGAATAATTTCTAGTCTTGGTGCAAAAGAAGTGCCCTCTCACCTCTGCCTGTGAGTGGCAAATGAGCCTGGCCTTGGGAGTAGGGTGTTGTTAATTTGGTATCACTCCTGACACATTCTGAAGAGCTGTGATTTGAAGGTATAGAAGTCTGGGGTGGGAGGAGGGACCACCCCAGACTTGGGTAGAACAGAGTAGGGGTCATTCTTTTCCTGGACACAGGTCCAGGGGGGACAGACTACAAGGGGACAGACTTCTGGACAGAAGGGCACTCTGAGATACGAGCCTGCAGGAACCCCAGCCTCCATCCCTCCCTTCTCCCTCTGAGTTCAAGAGAGATTGCTGAAGAGAGTACTCGAGAGACCAGGCTGGGAAGGGGGCCATGGGCCTGGGACTCCTGCTGCTTCTACTTAATTGCTCACACCCGTTCCTCTGCTTGCAGGGCCCCATTTCATTAATGAGCAAGACATGCACTGGCCACGTGTCAAACTGCCTCAATATTTATTTGGCTTTAAGCTGGGTCTCTCTAGAACATATGTGCCTCCGGGGGATTAAAACTCAAACAACTGTGACTTTGGCGGTTTTAACTGAGCTGACACTGTAGTTCTTAAAACTACAAAAGCCTGTAGCTTTTGGTGGTGAGAATGGCCTGGCCAGGCAGAGGAACTTAAAGTGACCCTGAAGGCCAGCAGCGAGGATGCTGGAAGCCTCTGTTCTCAGGCAGAGGAGGCTGTCACCTGCATGGACTGAGAACACCACTGCCTTCCTCACTCACCTTCTCAAGGTCAAATGTATCTATTAGCAATTTATTCCTTTGGATTCAAGTTTGTCTAATGGGCATTGCAGTAGAAGGAGGGCCCCCTCACATTGAGAGTGGGAGTTCTGGAGTCTGAGAGACCCCGGTTTATAGTCTGGATCTGCCACTTTTCAGCTGTGTGCCTTGGGAATGTTCCTTATCTTCTCTGAGCTTGACTTTCCTCACCTGTGAAAAGGAGAGACTAAATTGATGCATACATTTATAGCTGGTTCCTAAGGAAGATTGGTGTGTATTGTGGTTTCTTGCATGTTCTTTCCAGATTTTAGTAGCAGGGTAATTAATACTGGCCTCATAAAATGAGTTGGGAGGTATTCTTTCCTCCTGTATTTTCTGGAAGAGTTTGTGTAAGATTAATATTTTTTTCCTTCCTCAAATATTTGATAGAATTTAGCAGTTAAACCTGAAGTTTTCTTTGTGGGAACATTTTTGATAACAAATTTAATGTTGTCACTATTAAGAACTAAATGGAAGGTCATGTGAGAATCAGGTCTATGCAGATGGTCAGTGCTGACAGAATACAGCTGTGTCTGTCTGGACAGGACAGCCCACTGGGCTGCTGACATCTACTCACAGGTGGCACATGGAGTCCTGTGCCAATGTACTGCATGTATATGAAGATCTCTGTGAAAAAGATGAGAAAACTGAGACTTAAGGAGGTTAACTCAATTAACAAAAATTGCTCAGCTAATAGATTGCAGAATAAAACCAGGACTCCAGCTCTGTTATTTTTTTTTTTACTTGAATCCCATAATGTTCCACCATTCCCTAGCCAGAACATCATAATTCATCCATGGATCCCATTTTTTCCTTTGACAATGACATTCCTCTCCTCTCTGCTCTTTGGTGGGTCCTAGGAGCTGGGCTCAGAGAGTTAGCTCCATGTAGATGCTTCAGAAATCATCCACCTCACTGTGTATCTCTAAGGCTCCATGAAAGACTCATTGCTGCAAAACAAGCAAACAAACAAACATTTCTACAAGGGTGTAAGTGCATTTAGAAAGTTCGGGGTGGGGAGGAAGAGCACTCACGTGAAAAAGATGAGGAGATCAAAAGGTATACCCTGCTCTAGCTGCACCAGAGCCAGAGATCATTAACTTCCAGCAAGTGCTTCTGCAAGTCATCAATCTTCCCTAATCACAGATAACATTTGATTCATAAACCTCTACCCTGAGTGCTTTCCCCTGACTCCAGATGAGTTCTCTAACATTTATGAGATAATGTTTAGAAGACATCAAAATGAGTGGGAATTACTCAGCAGATAGGGCCACATCCTCATCCTAGTGCAGCAGCCAAGAAATCAAGGAAAGGTGGGAAAGGGCAATGGATGGTTTCTCTAGCTATGCAGGTCTGAATTAGCAAGTCTAGCAAAGGGATAATGAAGCTGTGGAAGAGTGAAACTCTGTGAAATTCCACAGGTGGGAAGGCAATAGAGAAGTCAGGGATGCTGGTAGCACCAGCCAAGGGAGGTGCAAATAGAAGCAGGTCTGTGGGTTACTGGGTGTTTGTCACAGTCCTTGGCTGGATGTGTACACCTGCTATGGGCTAAATTGTGTCCCACCCACCCCCAAATTTATGTGGTGAAGCCCTAACCCACAAAGTGATGGTATTTGGAGATGAGACCTTTGGGAGGCGGTTAGGTCTAGATGAGATCTTGAGGGTGGGGCACCATGAGGGGATTAGTGCTGCCCCTTAGACTTGCTCTGCTCATCTGCTCCCCATGTGAATTCATTGAGAAAGGCTGTGTGAGCCCACAGTGAGATATTGGCCTTTTGTGAGCCAGAAAGCGAGTCCTCTCCAGAAAGAGAATCTGTGGACACCTTGATCTGGGACTTCCAGCCTCCAGAACTGAGAAAACAAATGTCTGCTGTTTAACCACTTCAGTACAAGCGTCAACTATAGTGGATAGCCACAGATAAACGTGCACAGCCGGGTGGCAACTGTAGCCAACAGCCGTGATATGAAGGCTCACAGCCGAGCGTCGACTTTAGTCTATAATTTTTAATTGACTTTTCCAGTTTTTCATTTATCAAAATAAAATTGTGAACATTTAAAAATAACGTAATGAAAACATGATTTACATATATGTAAATATATGTACATATATATGATTTACTACAAGTAAAGCTGCCTGTAAAGTAAAACAAGCTTTCAGTGCTTTAAAGCTTTCCTCATCACATAAGAGCAAAATGGGTTTATCGTCAATGCACAGCACAAACTATCGTGCGGACTATGAGTGCCGGCTGTGGGCAAGGTTTTGCGGCCAGTCAGCGCCATACCGAAGTGGTTAAACCACTCAGTGTGTGGTAGTCTGTTAGGGCAGCTCGAGTTGCGTAAGACAGTACCCTGCACTCACACACACAGACACACAGCCTGGAAGAAAAACTGCAGATCCTTAGGGGTCGTGTGCCTAATTTGTGTTGGAAACACGACAACCACATCCATTCCAACAATGTGATCAATAACAGATCACAATCAGGAAAAGATTTCTAATCAACCAAAATTATATCTGAAAACCCTCTAAGGGAGAGCAAGTGACAGGCTCATTTAGGCCCCAAATGGTCAATGATCTACCTGAGGGATTTGTATCTCCAGTTATTTGCTTGTGATAAAGTAGGATAATAGTTGCTATTCATCATAGCAACTGTGGGATCTCAAGAGTTCTTTGTCCCAGACACTGTGCCAAGTGCTTTATATGCATTAGTGAATTTAATCTTTCTTGGCCGCACCCCAATCCAAGCCACCATTGCCCTATCACCTGGACTATTCCAATAGCTTTCAAACTGGAGGCTCTTTCTCTGCCCTTGGCCTCTACAGTCTCTTATTTTCACTGCTTCTAAAGTGATTATTTTAAAGATAAAATGTGATCATCTTGTGGCTTCCAAATCCTCCTGGGGCATTAGGTCTCTCTTACAGTAAAAGCCAAGGTCTTTTGAGCAGCCTAGGACCTCCAATTTCCCCTCGGTGGTATCCAGTCCCTTTGAGCCTAACTTTCAGTCATTCTGGCCTCCTGCATGGTACTCAGGCATGTTAGAAACTCGCCTGCCTCTGGGCCTTTGTGTTTGCTGTTCCTACTGGTTGAAATGCTTATTCTTGAAAATTAGCTTAGCTCACACTCTGACTTCCTTCAGTTTTCTGCTTACATGTCACCTGATTAGAAGGGACTTCCCCAAGGACCCTTGATTAAATTGACCCAAGCCCCTTAAATTGTAGTATTTGTCTTCCTAGCCCTTGTCACCTCCTTGTTATATTACGCCTGGATTTGTTTACCAGTTTATTTCCCCCTTTGTCCCTAGAATAAAATTTCCTAGGGACAGAGATTTTATGTACCTTATTTTCTGCTCTGTCCCTAGCACTTAGAACAGTCCTCAGAACTATTTGTTGAGTGAACAAAACAACAAATGAATAATGCTTTTCCTACCTTTATTTACTCTATTTGATTATTAATTTTTTCCAAAAA